CAACCTTCAGAGAGCATCGGTGAAGTTAATTATCCATCTAATAGCTTATCAATAAACTAATAAAAAATTAAACAATGTATTGTACAGCAGTTACAACTAACTTTTGACACAGGTCTAATACCAAAATGATATACAATTTATTGACATATGTAAAGTAGTACACATTCAAAAATGCCTTTTTACAATCAAGAACTATACCAATATTTTACTCCATTTAAATTACCAGAAACGGATTACAATCAAGTGTATTTATAGTAAAAGGACCTACAGTATTGTAATTCGAGCGAGTGAAATATCATTGTGATTTATTAAAATTAAGTTCATATCATCAGTAGTCTTAATAATCAATGGCAATATACGCTTAAGTTTTTATTTTTCAATATAATATTTTCAGATGAGTATAACAAAAATTAAATTAAATTTGACAGAAATTATTGTGGCCCCACTACACTTCCACAACTATTTCAACCATATGTTTTGTGCATATTTAAATTGTTTGTTTATTGTTTTAGTAGCCCTAGAAACCTAGGCTACACAGTTGACTGTTTAACAAATCTAGTGGATGTCACTCAATTTCTTTCTTTGTAAATAAATTAATCGTTTTACTTGAATGATTCATTTTAGAGCACTCATCCGTTAGAAATGGTGACCCCGACTAAACAAGTTCATTATTTTATACTAAATTCATGTATAACACTTTTTTACATCGTATACATTTTAGGTTATCACTGAAACTTATCGTAAATAATGTACCAAGCCTAGCAGTGTTTGTCAGCTGAACAGAGTTAAGCTGTAATGATAAACTATCCGATCACAAGAAGTGTCGCAACTAAGTTTCAGTTTCAGAACAAAACAAAGTTTCTACAAGTTTTACCTTTGCAAACCTTAAGTAGCTTATATAACAACGAAGTAATCCAATAATCAATATAAAGTTCATATTTAAAGAAAACAATTATAGAATTCTAAAAACTGAAAACTTAACTTTCTTCTTTACATTTTCCTTCTCCGTAGAAATTGTGGTGTTGTTTGGATTAGTGATAATATATCTTTACTTTTCCCGGATTAAGAGTGTTTACATTATAAAGTCCAGACAGCTTAATGATACATAGGTTTTACGTTGCATGTGAATGCTTAAGTCGGGTTCGTACAAAACTTCTATTGTGGTTAACGAAGAAGTTTTAGTTAATATTTATATTGAGTGGATTCAAAACTAAAACTTAAACATTTTATCAAATATTGTTTCAAAATGTGTTATGGTCAATATGAATGTGAAAGTAACCACCATTGCAGTTCTCGTTTGTCACTTCGGAATAAGGAAATGGTTGTCTTCTTTTTATTATCCTTAAAGCTCAGGATTGAAATCCGTTTATATTTTTTTTCAATTGTTTTATCCTATTTTTTAAATTGATAGTATTTTAGCCATGAGCCGAAGAGGAAATAAACTGTTTACAAACTCAGACATACTTTCTCCCATCAGATTGTTAACAACCCATATAATGGGCAGGCGGTGGGAGTAAATATATTTCACGGGTAAAATCAAAATGCCCCCACCGCAGCAAACCTGCAGTCGACGACAATTTCCATTTGCCTGATTTGACTTTCAATTAATTCCATTTAAATAACATAAGGATTAACGAATATCTAGGTTTGCTGCTACAGTGAGTCTAATAAAGTGTGTTATTAGTAAAATATTAATAGCTTAGCATAAAATAAATAAATTTTAGGTTTGACCAAAATATATCCATAAACAAGCAAATTATACAACATTTTGCAATATTCTCCATAAGAATAACAGGGGAATTTTAAATTTACAATTTTTTTAAATTCCTCCGTAACCAATAAACGTACAAAAACACTTTGATATACTAAATTATTTGTATTAAACTCCTTAAAGTGGTACAAAGAGAAACCCATAAACAACCAATAAATTACATCAGTTTACAATATTATCCATAAGAATAACATGGTAAATGTAAATTTAAAATGTCTTGAATGACATCTGCAACCTGATGGTTATAACCTGTATTGAAAACGTCATTATTTTATAATCAAATCAATTATTAAACTGTTAGTTCTAAACACATGTAAACTACCGTATTTTTCCTTACTTTACTGAAAAATAATACTTTACAAATAGTTAATAACTAAAAATGCATAAATTTGAAAGCTCAGTTGAGTGTGATATGGCTGTTTTAATATATCCGGATTATTGCAAGTAATATCCTACCTGTGCACCTAGACAAAAATACACTCTCTGTATGGAAATCACAATTCATATGCTAAAGTTTTTTTACTTTATTTAATTTAGAATCTGTTTAAAGTTGAACAATAAGCAAATTACTTACATTTTTTGTTTCAAACATTAAAACTCATATTTTTATCCTTTTAATTTATGGGATTTTATAGGTTTGTATGATACATAAATAAATATGAGAATATACAATATTTTCGGTTAGCATGCAACAATAATTGAACCTCGCTCTTACCATCAGTTTTATAAGTAGGTAGTGATGATCTTAGATTTGAGTGACATAGACATCTAGTAGAAAGTTAACCATTTATGTATTTTACTAACAGTATTTAAGTTGAACTAAATAACATATTTCAATATTTTAATTATTTATATTAAAGATATCATTCTTGTTTGGGTCTAACATATTTTGGGAGTAATTGGTGAAGTGTTTGTTATATATTAATAAATTACTAAGTCAGTTCTTTAATGAAGTTGGGCACTTCTAAAGCTTTGGAATCACTTAATATTTATGTAGTAGTTATATGCACACTCTTCATGTAGTAGTACACTCTTCAGTTATTAAACTCATACTGCATTCGTAGTTATATGCACACTCTTCGTGTAGTAGTTATATGCACACTCTTCGTGTTAATAAAGTGACTTTAACTAACCTGATCTTGATCACTGGGCTTTGGATTAATGGTCACGACTGATAAATAAGCTGATCTTCGCCAGTAACTATAAGCTTTGAAATAATTCATTTTAACCTAACACTGCATTCGTCAAAAAAAGCGTTGTTGTGCTAACAAAGTAATGTTTTAATTCGGTAGTTCAATAAAACCCTTCTATAAGTTTTTACAAGTTGATATTATGTAAACAAACAAAATATAATTTAAATAAAATATTTGTTAACGACTTGTTCCAATAAACCTGAAGTATATTTCATTGGGATCTAGTAAAGTGTATAAATACTTAATAATTCGTTTTTAAATATGTGTACACATTATGTTTACACAGCATGCGGTGGGCAACGTTATTCCCATGTTTAAGCTTCCTGTATTAACATATCAAAGTGGAAAAACGTTACCTAATACCCTTGAAGCGGGCAACATCGCAACAACTTTTGATGATAAAAGTTACATAAAATATTGTTGTTCAAAAAACACAGAGAATCTCTCTTTGTGCTATTACACGTTGCTTTGAAAAAGTTATAAGACTAACCCAGGTAATTTCTGGTATAAAATGTAAGTAGTTTTGATTTAAACTACTGAAAGACCCAACGGACCCAACTAGTAACCATCTTCTGTGCCCAAAGAGTGTGTTTTCCTGTGGTTGGTAGTTGGATTGTTTCACATCACCTCTACTTCATAAAAGTGTGTTTTGCATCACCGTACTTGCGATGTATGTTTTGTTTGCTGAACACTCATTAGGTTTGTGAAGGAGACTGTTATCACTGGAGGATCTAGATGGGTGTTAACTACCGTCGGCGTCACGGTCATGTCAATACACGGAGCGTGACCAAGGCCACACATCCTAGAGTGACGTCATCAGCTAAGTTTGCACAAGTCATGTGTCGGTTTTGTAGGAAATATTGTTTCAGGTTATCTTATTTTAATTAAAATTATTAAACTCTTTCTTGTTTAATAACTATAATGAGAGCAAGTAAAAATATTTATATTAAGCATATGGTTAACAAAATTTTCTTATTATTGCAATAAAATTAATTTAAAAAGTCAATAAAAAGATATCCTACCACCTAAATCACTAGATGTAAATTTTTAGCTGGCTCAATTACTACAGCCGAGTTTAATCTCCTGTCCAAGCACTCATAATTTTTTACGATATTATGAAGATCTTTACTGGAGTCAGATCTCTTTGACTAATTTTTTGTAGAAGAAGCCCAAACGAGTTCGACAAAAAAAAATCCAATTCCCTCAAGTACTTGGAAACATGTCGGGTACGAAACTAGGCTAGCAACTCGCCCAATTCGAACACATCAGGTCAAACGTTAAGCTTGACAATGGTCAAGAAACTATGAAAATATCTTTAGTGTTTGGTCGCAAGACCAAATCAGGAGTGTATTGGAAAATATCCAATTTTTATTTTTATTATTGGTTAGTTATGACGTAAACAATTTTAATGACTTGATCATTAGATATTTATTTACATACGTTTTACTGCATTCTTGTTAAGCAACGCAGTTAATTACAAATACATAGGTGAAAAAAAGTTATTTGTGTAACTAGTGGCAAAGTAGCACTTAGCTGAACACGAGAGAAATATTTACGCACAAGCCGCAGGCGAGTGTGGAAAGTTTCTCGAGTGCAGAAAAGGGACTTTGCACTCGTACTACACATTATATTTCTCCTACAGTTACTATAAAGTATAGAAATAATTAGTCTTTCGAACAGTACACGTTTTAGGTTAGGTTTAGATCCAAGCGTTGGACGAAATGGGAAATGACTGCAGCAGTGGATTGTAGTCGTAGTATTAAGTGTTGCCAACCTATTTCCAAGCATACACGAATGCTGTTTTGTCTTGTTTGGTTGTAATACTGGTACGTGACAAAAATGAGTGCGGCAAAAAAAGCGTTTGGCAAAAGTAAGTAAATGCAGCAATTGGTAACTTTCTGTTTATAATCAGTGCATAGAAGCCCACTTTGTCAGGTGACTGTAGGAACAGATATTTGGCTAAACATTAACAAGTGAAATAGTGACCCTAAGCACATGGCAAAAATGTCAAGGGTTGTTAGCCAAATAAACTTCAATTCAATTTGCAATGTTTTAATAACATTCACAACTATAATAACTTAATTTCTATGTTGGATCACAGATTTAGTCATGAAATATCGTTAAAATATCGTTGGTGTGAAGAATGAATGTACGACAATTGATTGTATTATTTCGATAGTTTCGTCTTATAAGTTAGAAAATACATTTAAAAGCACCATTATATTTTTTAACACATGTTTTGTAATGATTTTTCACTTATAAAAGTATCACCTTTTCCAGAACTTTACTTTCATACCAATTATTTAAATCACGAATTGATAATTTGATCAACAGCTATAAATCATAATTCCTTTACAAAACAGTTTGTAAGCTACAATTATTACAATGATAAGTAGATTGTTTGCTGATTGTTATGAACTAATAACAACTTACAAGTAACACAGCACGGGTGTAAAGTTAAACATTTTGATTGGTTTATTTCGGTACCAGCTGATTGTCTTCACTTCACAAACTCCACACGTAATACTGTACCTGGAAATATTGAATTCAACCTTTGAGAGACCTTTTATATTATGTTACCTTGTGTTTATATAACATTACTTGTCTTTCTTTCTCTTATAAATATTTAATTTCATTTTATTCCTACAGATGTCAATTACTATTTTAAGTAATTTCTTTGTTGTGACAAAATATAGCTGTATCATCAAAGGTAAACAATACTTCTATTTTATATTCGATCTATATGGAAATGATTATAGTCGAGACAATTTATTTGCGTAATTTATGCTTTTGGCATTCTTTTGCGTACAACTAATAAATTATAAGTTGCATCATTGGATTAAAAGGTAGCAGATAATTGCTATATGTATACATAGCTTAATACATAATTCATAATATATAAGTTGTAGACCTTAACTCAATTTAGTGTCAGATGTGTTAGCATATTCAAAAACCTATTTTAACACCAATTAGGAACATATATCTTAATTATTTTGAAATTTTTAAGCATTAAGAGAAAAGTCATAAAATGAGTTATCAAAATAAGTTTCACAATTTTACAAAGTCAGTTCAGAAATGCCTTACTGTATTCCGAAAGGTATTGTAATTATTTAAAGCAAAGCACATAATGAAATGTCAAGTATTCCGTAAGGATGTTTAAGACATAACACTAAGTGTAAAAACCCATCGATAAACATCATCTTCACTTATCTTACTGCATTAAAAGGCAGTGATTTCTACTATGTTATCAAAAACTATAAATCAAACCTTATAATAGACGTATTTTTCGTTACATTATTTTTAAAGCTAAAATAACTTACAAAAATAAAATCTTTGGTTGTACCAACGATAAAAATACATAAATTAATTATTGCACTTAAATATAGCATGCATCATCTTGGATGCGGCAAGTAAATAATTCTTGCGTTAAACGGAAAACGACATTTTCCCAATTCAGGGTGATTGCACGACCAGTGTGTGGTACAACGCGTACAGCAATTGTATCAGTATTTGATTTTATTTAAAAAAATTACATTTTGCATTAAAGAAAATGAAAGACATAGTGCGTCTGTTTTCCAACGTAATCCGTCACGGTACATTGCTTACTTACGCCCTCCACTTTTAAGTCAAGTTTGTAGCTCAACCCATAAAGCTGCGATCGTTGAGCCGCATACACATATAATAGCAGCCAACTCACACTGACAGTGACAATGTAACCGACCACACTTGGGTGTGGGCCAACACTGCTCTGTTACTCAGTGGTTTTATAAAACAAGCAGTCTTGCTACTTCGAGACAATGTTTTTGAAGTTACAGTGATATCAAGTTTGGTATAGTGCAATTAAAACGAATAAGTTTAAACATTTTGATTTGTTATCACAGCTAACGAATATTCAGTCAACAGCAAATTTATATAGCTCGTACCACGTCAATCGCCATGAGAATAATTGTAACTTTAGTTATTACAAAGTAAAACCAAAAGGAAGTACGTTTCAACATTTACATCCATTATTTAGTTAATACGTTTCATTATATTTGGGGTTGGTTTAGATTAAAAATTACATTACTATTATTAGGTATGCCTGCATTTTTAGAAGTATATCAAATATGTATGACATGGCAAAGAAATATAAAAATAAACAGTGAACAAGTAGTAAACAGCATGGTGCGTCTTTCTGATGATTCGTTTGACATTGAAGAATTCAAAGAATTTTGACTTGGTTTAATACACGTGGAAAACCTGTAAATTAGCCGTTCATACATCATATTTTTTACATTTACCATTCTGTATAGTACGGTAAGTACAGTTTTGTTAAATAGCTTTAGAGGGTGGTAGTACCACACTACTGGTCGTCCCTTGTGCCAGAGGTCACGCCTTGCTGGTGGATGCCACTGTGGTCGCGGTCGCCGCCGCCTGGTCGTCCTGATGACTCTTGGTCGTATTGCTTCGTCGGTAGAAGGGCTCCGGATACTCGATGTCGGCACCCACCCCACTGTGGCCGTTGTATGCTGGGCGCCGTCGAGTGTCATACTCGGAGCTGGAGGGGTAGCTTCCCCTCTCGTCCTCGTAGTAGCTCCCCCCACCGCCCGCACCACCTCTCCTGGAGGATGACCCGTGGCCGTGGTCGTGGTCGTGGTCTTGGTGATGGCCGTGGTCAGGTACATGGCCGTGGTCATGTGAACCTCCGCGACAATCACTGCGAAAACACCATATAAACAGTTACACAATGTAGTCATAAATTGCAATGCAAATCAGCGTTCAATTGAGTTTTACCATCGTAGTTGTTAAATTTTCACGATTCGTTATATTAGAATTTATGAATAGTAGTTTACACAATTATCGTGTAAGGATATGTAGTCTTTGAGACTCGAGTAGAAAATTTAAGGTACAAGCCTTGGTGAGTGCCTTTAAAAATTCTTGGAATGTCTTAATGGCTAATTAAGCGAGTTGCATAAACTACTTTACCTACAACAGTTTTTTTATATTTTTAAATAACCAACAATCTCTAATCATAACGTCTAAGAGAGGTTATGTTTCCGTTTATAAGCTCTCATTGCCACTGATTGCGATCATCGATCTCTATTATTACTACGGCATTGCGATACATCGACTCATTGTTCCAACCACTCACTCATTGTATAATCAAATAAATTGGTCTTAACAGCTGATAAGTTGATGTCCATGTGCAAAGCATTACAATTTTACTTCTTTTCTCTCAATCCTTGAGCCTCATTGGTCCAAACTGGTACTGTATAGTGACAAAACAATGCTGTTATAAGTGAACAATAGTGTAAAACGAATCTTTTCAATACTACGGACTTAATTTAAAAGGCTAGTTTAAAAAAATCGGGCGTAGGTAAATAATATAACCTACTATCTAAATAATATAGATACCAAAAGCTGTTGTCTAGTTTGATATATGTTGCTGTAGAAGTTATTTAAAGATGTATGTTAAATTAATATAAATAATTGATGGTATACAGGTTCCCCAATGAGATTTAAATTATATCATACACGTAGATACTTACATTACACGGATGAGTTTTACAATATTATAGCGTTAAAATTATCATTATTTGTGTTTTAGGTTACATAGTGTATCTTATGATCAATAATATTTCAATGCTTTCTGATCTGTTATTGAATTTAACAGTTTCTATATTAACCTTGGTGTATTTAATCTAAATAAATAAAATAATAGAATACATATTCATAAATATTACGCACAGTAATTCATTGGTATTTATATTAAGATTAATATCATATTGGGTCTCAAGCAGTATTTTTGAAACATGTATACGAACGTAACAGTTAGTTCGCGTCTGGGACCAAGAATAATGTTTGCTAAAACTTTTGCACCGTGTCAGTGACAGCCTGCCAAGAAACGGCGAGAGATTGCAAGGTAAATGGTAGATGGAATATTGGCAGACGCTCAAAACAAATGTAGAGCTTCAACTTGAGACTTGTCATTGTTTTACAGCTTGCACCGTCACTACCACCTTTGTTCAACTTTTATAGGTAACATATTTGGTTTTTTCTTTCAAATTTGTATGATGTGTCCCCAACCAAAATTTTTGGGAATATTCTTATTGTGTATAATTCTACCTTTGTTCCAAATGTATCAATGATAATAATATTTACATACAATTCAGATAGTCTTAGTTAAAACATATTATACCGATAACAATTACATCTTATTTAAAAGGTTATATTCTATGTGTCATATGCTTAAATAATCAGATGATTATTATTGTTATTATTTACATTTTTATCTTTTGTGTTAAGTTAGTTCAACAGGAACAGTAGAAAGGCCGCTTGGGAACGTGATGTACCTTGTGAAATCAGAAGTCGGGCAGTTATTTAAGAGACACTACGACCAACTAAGGGCAGCTTAATAGGTGGGAGGATTGTCATATGCTTAAATAATCAGATGATTATTAATGTTATTATTTTATTGTTTACATTTTATCTTTTGTGTTATGTTAGTTCTAGAAAGACCAAATAATTTAGACTAATAAATTTGCGTGTATTTTGTATATTTTATGAAGAAATATCACTATTTATTATATAATTATATATATATATATATATATATATATATATATATATAATAAATATTATATAATTATAGTTGCGTTCAAATAATTCGAATCATATGCCTAAAGTTCTTTAACTGTTTTTATAGCTTGGAAAACAGTGTAGGTATTTTTTATCTGAAACAGAAGGTTATAGAAGTGCAGTATACTTACTCTTTGTAGAGAGGTCCACTGCCACCTCCACCTGAACCCCAACTAGGGCGACTTGGTTCGTTGTAACTCCAACTAGATCCTGGGGCAGGAGTTGGAATCCCGTAGTTCCACTTAGACTCCTGATGCTTGTCATGTGCCCCGTGGTGTCCGTGATCATGAGGGCCCTGATTCCAAGAACTTCCATGGCTTCCTCCTGACGCTGATGGACCTTGACCCCAAGAGCTACTCTGACCCCATCCTCCTGGTCCCGTAGGAGGCTGACTCCACCCTACGGGCTTTGAAGGCTGCCTCCATCCTTGGGAAGGACTTGATTGGCCCCATCCTGAGGGAGGAGCTGGTGATTGTCCCTGCTGCCAACCTCCAGACCCCTGACTCCAGCTTCCCGATCCACCCCAGCCTTGTCCCTTTGATGAAGAACTCCAGTCTGAGACAGGAGGTCTTTGATGCCACCCTGGATCAGGTTGAGGTGATCCAGTTGAAGCCCAACCCGGACGATTCATTTGAGGAGTTTGTGACCAGCTTTGAGGCGGCTTTGACCAACTGGTGCCACCCCCTTGGTTCCACATAGATGCACCACCTCCTTGACTCCATCCTGCACCTGACCCTTGTGACCAGCCCCCACCTTGCGTAGGGGGTTGTGACCAACCAGATCCTTGAGGTGACTGATTCCAACCTGGAGCCGTAGGTTGACTTGACCATCCAGATCCACCTTGACTCCAAGATCCTCCCATACCTCCCTGTCCCCAACCTACATTTCCTTTATTCCAGCCCCCTCCTTGGTTCCATCCAGGATTTCCCGGTCGCATTAAATCCCACTGTGCTGATATCGGGTCTCGAGGCATACTATATCCCCATTGAGAGGGTGGTCCCTTACTGTTCCAAGATTGTGTGTCTTTTGGTTGACTATAACTCCAGCCTGAAGCATAGCCACCTCCATTCAAACTACTTCCACCCCCTCCACTCCATCCACTGCTACTACCACTTCCGCCCCAACCTTGCCCGGTGCTACCCCAACTACCTTTGTCATGATGACCATGGTGGCTACTGCTTTGACCTGGTGGGCCACCGATCCAGTTTAATACTCCTCCTGTTACTCGCGTCGAGTCGTCCCATTTCCCCCCTCCTGTTGGTGGTTGTCCATTCCCACCCCACCCACCAGCCCCCATACTACTCCAACTTTGGCCCGGTTGCCGACTCCAACCTCCACCTGCACCTTGAACGCCACCCCACTGTCCACCGCCCCCTCCACTACTCCACTGTCCACTGCCTCCTCCAACGCTCCACTGTCCACTGCCTCCTCCACCTCCTCCTCCTCCTCCATTCCACTGACCACCCCCTCCCCACTGTTCTGGCTGCCCTCCCCAACTAGGTTCTACCGGTTTGATGCTTCCTGTCCATGAACCTTGTTGCCCTTGCTGTCCTCCCCACGCACCACCTTTTTGCATCATCCAAGGGTCCTTTCCTCCCCACCCTGGATCGCCTTTAGCCCAGCCTCCTTTGTTTGCTAACGTCATCATTCTATACGCCCACTCCGGGCTGAGGTTGTCGTATCCATTACCTCTATAGTCAGGATCCCTAGCTGCAGCAGAGCCACACCGAGGGCAGGGTTGCTTGTTGATTGCGTCTTGTGAGTCCCAGTTGAAAGACGACACTCCTCCTCCCCTCGTGTCCCAGGAGCCTGCCCCTGGTGCTCCCCAGCCGTTGTTGCTGCCGTAGCGGCTCATGTAGTACTGGTCGCTTCGTGTAGGCCGATACAGAGAACTCTTGTTGGCATTTGCAGCCACAATCAACACGAGCACTAGCCATCTCTGAAACAGTTGATACTAAGATTAACCTATTTGTACAGGGTGTTTGAAAAAGAAAAACCTAATGTTATATATCAATAATAAAAGTTGTATTAAGTAACCTACACTACTCTAGTGCCTTTATTTGAATTCAGTAACCATTCAAATTTTCTCGTGTACACGTAGGAATTTATTTCCTGCAGTTGGCAGGTCGGTTTACATTGTTGTCTGTAAACGTGCAGTTGTTCAGTTTAGTGCAATGGCGATGCCGCAGCAAAAGGTGCAATGCGTGATTTGGCTAGTGCAAACCAAGTCTATTGTGACAGTTCAACGCAACTTCAGACGTGAGTACGGTGGATAAGCACCGACAGCAAAAATTGAATGGAATTGGTTGAAGTGTTTCAAGGAAACGGGCATTGTTTTGAAACGAAAATCGATAGGACGACCGAGAGCTTCGGAGGAGACTGTTAAACGGATTCGTACTTCATGTCAACGAAGCCCAAACAAATCACTGGTAAGACGTAGTTTAGAATTAGGAGTATCTAAACGTACTCTGTATGATGTGATGTGCAAAAGACTTCACTTACGTGCCTATGAATTACAACTCTTACATGAAATAAATCCTGGTGACAAAGAAAAAATATTACAATTTGCTGTTGACTTCTTGGACAGATTTGATGAAAATAAAGATTTTTTTTGAAAAGTGTTATGTTTTCTGATGAGACAAACATTCACACAAATGGAACCGTGAACAGACATAACTGCCGTATTTGAGGAATAGAGTCACCTCGGGAAGTTTTACAGCATCAACCTAGAATTAAATACACACAAAATGTTTTCAGTATTTAATTTGATGTAAGGGACAATTTGTTTGAAGAATTTGCACTTTTTCTCTTTCGTATTCTAATATTCTTTTTACAGTACAACGGATTTTTATTAGTTTGTTATTTAACATCACTATTGCATTGATCATCGAACACTTAATCAAAACTGTATCCTAAGTTTAAGGCTTGAATCAGGAACAGATATGGGCTGCTGGCAAAGGAAGGGAGTTATATTTTGTAATCTTAATTTCAGTCTTTATCCTCAAAGTATTAAGCTCCTCACAACTCTAAGAGCCTTCTACGAAGCTTTGTAGCGTAGTTGGGAAACTTGCATGGATCAATTTGTAAACCGTAAAATTAGGATTTGTACCCAACTCATGCTTTTTGGTTTTAGTACTTTGTTATTTTGTGATCACACTTTAAATAGTTGTTGTTGAGGTGATTTTCGGACTTTTTTAACATCCATTTTATACTCGGATGCATTATGTTAGAGATCCTGTTTTCTAGTTACATTTGGTATATACTGTAGTAGTAGCTTCTTTGTTACATTCCAAAATATTAAGATAAATTTTTTTATTGTATTTTAATTACTTACTTACAATGTGGCAAGGTTTGCAGCAAGTTCTAGTTCTATTTGATCTAATATTCGTTTATAGATTTTTTTTTATTTACTTCATACTAATCTGCTATTTTTTCTGGGACTTGTTCGTTAGGGATATGTTTATCAAATGTTGTCAAAATACTTTTAATCACTGTTGTACATATATATTAAAAAATTTAATTTACATACTTAAGATTGAAGTGACAGTAATAATGTGCGTTTAGCAAATCTATATATTTATATGATTATGCCATTATTAAAAATATTTCATCTGCTTCTAGACCGTTCAGTCAGATTGAATCGGAACGTAACAAACAAGGTTCTGCCTGAAGAGGTTGTTAATGTCAGAAAGCACTCAGGTTTTTGCAAGGGAAACATTTTCCCTGGGCTCGTTGAAATTGTTTTGAGAGGTTTAAAGTAAATACTTTTAAATATATTTCCTTGAAAATTGTTATAGAAATAGTGTTACCGGTATTTGGTTAAGCACTATAGTTGATAAATGACTACTAAAATTAACATTTTGTCTGATATTATTTAATTTTTATGTTATGATTTGTAAAAAAGAGACAGTCAATCAATTTGGATCTAAATCCTTTTATGAAATATTCTTGAAAAATTATAAGAAATATAAGCTCAGAAATTATGTAAAGATTGAACATAATATTCATGGCGAGTTAGGTATATAGCTGGGTACTTCTTTAAAACATAGCGTCATTAAATTTTCAGATAGTTAATCAATAATATTACTTGCTCAAAGAAAATTCAGCAAAAGATGGCACTATTTATCAACAAGGAGTTAAATTTGACAAAAAATATCAACATGATGCTTATTATTAGCAATACCTAAACACAATAAGATATGCGAAACACGTCATTATACACGTTATATTGCACGTGTGAAAGCGTCACAGGAATCTAATCTAATTTAATGAAATGATAGATATGAGAGAGATTTGATCCAAGAGTCATTTACGTAATAAGAACGGCTCTACTAACTCCCTGTAAAATGGTATTAGCTTAGTATGATACTATTTAGTTTAGAATATTCGCTATGGTGTTATATTCTCTTAATCAACGTTATTGCGTATAAAAGTGTTTTTCATACATATTACGATTGCTAGAAAACAAAGTTTTTGCGACCTTTTGTACACGTAAAGAGATCAAACAATATATATTTTCATACGTTTATCATTATTTTGATGCAGTTTATAGTGTATATCCCCCAGTATTTTACGTGGCTACAGCAAGGTTATACAAGAGCATGGGTCTCGTTATATTGTTTGCCTGCTCGGTCGAGCGGTCAGGGCGGATCTTTACTGTGTGTACGCGGCAACAAACATGTCCTTCCGCCCCACACCATGGTCAATACTTACTTACGATACAAAAGTGGCATCAGAAATCTCCCATAGCACTACAGTTTTATTGGTTGTTAAGCAATTGTTTTTTTATTCATGTATTCTATATTTTTTAACTCCAGCATATGCACTGATTTATGTGGTAAACAAACATAAAAATTCAGTTTAGAAATAAATTACGACGACTAATGAAAAGATCAAAGGTTGCTATTTCAATCCTAGGAAAGATTCTTGTTAGGATTTCGGGGCCTTTTGGACTATTCCTAACGCCAGAGCCATTGGCCTACGAATTAAAAAAAAAATAACAATAGGTCAGCTTTACAGTACAGTAAAGGACTTGAACCATATCGAACAAAACACCTTAAAATACATATTAAAAATATTTTATACTAAAATAAGGAAGAATTAATATTCTTATTAAAATATTGTTCAATATTACTTTTGAATATCTTTCCCCTCTTTGTTATGCTGCATATCAAATTAAATTAGTTTCAACTAAAATAAAATATTCTTTAGCGCGGAGGTTTTATAACGTAACGAGCGGCTTCGTGAGGTCTCCCGAGAGTTGTTATATTTCTATTTTATTTCCAACCAGAAACTGTTCTCATCTCAAGAGGCTTTGTACGGAAGAATACAGAGTTTTGCAATTTAAACCCGTTACTCTTCACTTGATGCTGATGCTATATTTTTTCTTAGTTATTTTTACAGTCAACTGCATATTACTTTTTCTCTAGTGCTGTTTAACAAAATAATCTTATTCGAACATTAAAGTGTAAAAATAACTGTCTGGAGGATTCTTTGAAAGTATTAAATAATCATTGATGTATGTTGTTGTTGTTGCTCAACGTGTGGGACTGTGAGTATTAGATAACCAGTATCTTTTAAAGAAAATGTTTTAGAAGTGACTGTAACAGACCTTGATTTTTATTCAGTGAAACTATAATAAATGCTACGTCTCAGGATAGTGCGATATTTTGCTACGTTGGCAAACTTCAGAATTTCATAATAATTGAATGAGATAATGAATTAAATCATCACATTCAGCCAAAGATGGCAATAAATTACATTCGCTATGCTATTCAGAATAAGTATACAGAGCAAAGGTATGTACATTTTACTACTAACGAATAGATATTTTAAGCCAACATCCTGAATAATACTTGACTAAACGTAGTATGCGTGGGCCTAAATACTGAAAGGTTCATACCCATTCTACTTTCCTAAAACACGATTTGTTCGTCAAAGTCGGTCATTGAAACATTGCAAACTCTAAGCGAAAAATTACCCGTGTCGGCGGCTGCAGTAACCCAGTTTGGCGTGGAAATGTGTAAGTCAATGGAAGTTTAGCGAACGATCGGTCACACATTAAACTGTGAGGTGTGGGTGCCGCAATGAAGACATCACTTCTGACCACAGCCATAACCAGGACTGACGGACCGTGTACAAGGTGAGATAATCCAAGGAGGTTCACACACACCCAAGGCGAATGGCTCATAATTGCTCAGTAATAGCATTTCCGAGTTAGACGATGCAAATTGTTCATAACACTAATTTCCGCTAATTTCATTCCAGTTGTAGATGTGTTGAATAAATTGCAAGCCTCGAGTTTCATTTCCTCAAGGGATCACTCTTCTGCGGAATCGTCGAGATTTTAATTGTTCGCTAAGTTACAAAAGATGTGATTGGAGTGTTGTGAGGAGATTTATTTTGGAAATGTAGGACTTAACCATTACCCTCATGAGTCCGTCGTATTTAAGTTCATTTTATAATTGAATCATAGCTTAAATAACATAATGACGCTTAGCAAGATGTTTGAAAACACGGCCCAAACCCGTTTTACGGTGGTTTTAAAGATTGCAAAGAGGTAACACTGTAATACTTTTCTTGGACTTTTTATATAGTATACTTTTAGATACAACAAAAAATGTGTTACCTTATCAGCCAAATGTGGCTCGAATCTTAACTAAGACGTTTAGTGCAGGAAAAATGTGTTACACAATCCTATAAGTCTGTGTGTTTGATTTCCTTTAGTATGGTAATGGTCGAAACCATAACTTTAATTATTAACGTTAGATGTAGTCGAAAATGTGATAACAGAGCCGCCAACCTCTTTTAAAAAAAAAAAAAAAAAAAAAAAAAAAGAGTCGCATAATTACTTGCGTGCAAGAAGGCTAAATTAATGTTCATAATACATATTTACATATTTTTTTAAGTTTATCCTTAAACTACATTAAACCAAAAATA